GGAATTTTATTCAAAAGCAACGCAATAGTAGAAATCAGAAAGAAATTTGTCAAGAATGACAGTGAGCCACATGAGTGAATGTACTCAAGAGTTCCAATTATTATTTGGGGCTTCTTTTAATGGGGTTCAAGAAAAGGAGGTGTATGGTTGCGAAGGGGCACAGCAGTAGCAGCTCTCTATTTTGATTGACAGACTTGAATTAGGATTACACAATTATATAAACCTATGCTCATAGCACATGTCCCTTCCTGTACTGCATCTGATTTTAATCACACGCCTGTCCAATTATACATAGGCATAAGATGGTAAACAGGGGGTTCTCCCTAAGAGTTCACTCAGAAGACACAGTTTGCCTTATTCAGCAGACGTCCAAAATCAGTCTTAGGCTAGATGAGCCCATTGCCAGTAGTTCCCAGATTTGTTCCAGGATGTGTTTGCATAGAAACCGTGCATTATCAAGAGGTTGCTAAAGGGAAGTAACTGACTTCCCCTTCTTAAAGTATGTGTACTGTGCAGCTCACTACATTGTTCCGAAAGGGGTAAGTATGCCCAGTATGTGCCTGTAAGGGTCGCAGGCTGCACCTATTAGCAAAGGTGGTGTGTATACTTGGTTTACCAAATGGAGTAGAGTCTCAGATTATGAAGCTAGTTGCTATACTTTCCTGCCTCACCCCATGTTGAAATTACTCAATATGGCCCCAGGAATCAGTCAGCATGGGAGAGGCTTTGCTGCAGGAACAACCAGCACCCTCCTCTATCTCAGTGTATTAACAACACACAAATCCGTATCTGGTTCGTGGACCATTTCAAATCACCTGCTCAGACAAAGCCCCATGTTCTGATTCTCACCCATTCCTCTCATCAATAATGCCCAAGTAACAAGAGCCATAGTCCCATTTTGTAGCCACTGAGACCTCCATGTCCCACAGGGATAAGTTTCTCCATGACCACAGAAACACTTGGGCCACTAAGGCTAAAGAAGGCCAACAGATGCCTGATCTCACTGTGTGGCCTTGGGTGTGTTTCTTAGCCTGTCTGAGACCCATCATGACACATGGGAAAGAGAGATGATGGGGGGTTCCCAAGGTGCTTGGTATCCCTGGGTCAGCCAGCAGTGAAGTAGGCTAGACTATGCTGGCTATCTGAGGGAACCCGCATAAGTCAGTAAAAAGCAACCAGGAAGGAGGTTGTAGGCAGAGCAGGGGACCCCTGGAGGTTTGCAAGAGTCAACCCCTCCAAAGGTGATTGAAAAGCACGTCTCTCCCAAGTCCCTCCCAGTCATCCCTGTGAACCCAATGGTAGCATCCACAAACTCCCACGGGAGGCACAGGTATCAATGTCCATTCCACCAGCATGGTGCTCTGGCTCACAGAGAATGGGATCATAGTCAGGTGGACATGGATTACCCCAGGGTTTCCAACTCCATAAGCATTCTGACTTGTCCAGGAGCAGGGCTCCAAGGCCAGGCAAGGAACTAGGTTGGGACTCAGGCCTGAGATATGATTTAATTCATCCAAGTCAGATAGGTACCTTGACTCTTGGGGCAGGCCACGCCCAATCTCCAAGTCGGACCCAGGCCTGGGGCTCCTAAAATGCTCTCTCTGGTCATCCACTAGAGGCATGAGGGTTGGCAAGTTGGGACTTATTCTCCAGCATGGTTTCTCCTCTCCCAGAAATCCCCACTGTTTGGTCAGCTGCACCCTCATCAGGCCTCTAGGATGCTTGTATGCCACACAGTGACAGAGTGCTCACTACCTCTGAGCATCTTCTGTCCCTATTCTTTGAAAGCATCATAATCAGGTATGTGGAGGGATCGCACTGAATGGTTGAAAAGGCTGGGGTGGTCTCCAGAGCCATAGTCCCTCAGTCTCTGGATTGCCCTGCCCATCTCTCAGATTGGACCATTTCATTTCCCGTTGAGGACTTAGCATGCTCCCTCTGGTCTAGTTGGAGAATCGATGATCTGATGAGTAAGATCCTGATTTCCCAGGCATGGATGCTCAAAATCCCATACTGATGTCCCCTAAGAAGTGTCCTTCGGTCTGTGACTTTGGACCAGTCTCTCCCAGCCTCCAGCCCTCAGTGCTCACATCCATCAAATGGAGGAAGGGTCTCTCTCTATATGTTACCTTCCAGCTAGCGATGATCCCTATTCTGCCGTCTTCCAGACCTAAGGAAAGCAATGGAGAGGCCAGCAGGGCCCCTAGTGAAGGCGAAGACACAAGAGCAGACCCCAGGCTGGCCCTGTGCCCATTTTGTCAATGTCTGCTTTGTCTGGAGCTCACAGCAAGCAGGTGAGTTCATTTTCCATTAAGGACAATTAGATCTTCATTTGCATATGCTAAATGCGACATTTAAGGGAACAGTTCCTCCCAACCCAAACAGGATGAAAGTCCAATGACAGGCAGGCAACCTGCAGTTTGGGGCAGAGGTGTAATTGGCTCTTATTAAGGGAGATGTGGGAGATACAGGTTTTGAAATGCAAATGATGGCATCAGTCCTTCTGCCGGGCCGGAATGGGGAATGAAAGGGGAAAGCTGGGTCTCATTTTTGCTCCATGTCCACACGAGACAGGCCTCCTGACCCACAGCAAGAGAGTCAGAGAAGCTGGGCAGAAAGGATTCAGAATACTCCAAGGAGAACAGAGAGAGGGACAGTCACCTTCCCCCAGCCCCCAACCTCGCCTGCGCTGCCCTGTCTGAGTCAACCACTTCCTACTCTCTAAAGTAGGAAGGTCTAGGAGCTTGTTCCACCCCAGCTCGACACCCCCAACTGTTTCATCATGGCTTCTCCCATATGTCAGACCCAGCAGACAGTCGGGAGGACCTAAAGACCCCCACATACAGCGTTTGCCATCCACTGCCAAGAGGTCTCTCCCCTCCCACCCACCCACCCATCCCGTTCTTGTCTCTCGCTAGTTCAGAGTGTTTCATCTGCCTTAAGAGCCCAGACTGAAGTCATGGTAGCATCCTTACCCCCTGGAACTGAGAATTAGAAGCATAATTAGAAGCAGAAGAATCTGGCTCTTCTCTGCATGTGTGCAAGCACCAACAGAGGGCCAGCTCACCCGAGGGCCTCCTAAGAGTTGGTCGCTCCACGGGAGAGTACAGGAGTAAGTGGATGAAAGAAAAGATGGAAGAAGGAAGGAAGGAAGGAGGGAGGGAGGGAGGGAGGGAGGGAGGGAGAGAGGGAGGAGGAAGGGAGGGAAGGGAAGGAAGGAGGGAGGGACGGATAGATGGGGTATGGATGAGTACACAGATGGATACCTTATTGTACTTCTATGAGCCTTCCCTCTGCCCTTGCCTTAACATATAGCGCCTCTCATTTTGTAGATGACGGGAAAGTGAGGCTGGATGAGATAGATACCCCATTCCCCAACCCAGTGAGGCAACCCAGAGATGCAGGGTTTATGCCATGCCTCGGGATGCCCACTCAAATTAGATGACTGCAACTTAGCCTCCAAGTCCTCCACTGAGATGGAAGTCTTCCACCTAGCCACCTCTCCTATGTGACTGTCACACACAGGTCCTAACACAGCGCTAATCACCTGGGCCTCTTCAGATCCAGCCATTGAGGCTGAGGTTAACAGGCAAACTATGCAGGTGCATATCTCTCTCTCTCTCTCTCTCTCTCTCTCTCTCTCTCTCTCTCTCTCTCTCTCTCTCTCATAAATCGCTGACTCCCAGCTGACCACTCCAGAAGGCGTGGTCTTCTTTCCCCAGCCTGCCTTTTCAGGTTGCCAACTACAGACCCATAGATTTCACTATGTCCCTCCCAAGGACACCATTCCCTGCCCCAGACACCTAGAATTTGCCTCTATTTTGAAGAGCCTGAGGTAGGAGGAGCAGAGAGGCAGGGCGGGTGGAGGGACAGAGACAGACGGAGACAGACAGATACAGAGAGAGCAGAAGGATCCCTGAACCCACACATTGGGATAAAGACAGTGAACTGTACAGGCTGTCAAGAGAACCACAGGGGTCTGATGCTGACAGGAAATGACGGGATGCTGTAGGGGTGAAGACTTACCCAGAGGCTTCCACATTTGACCCCACACAGGACTCACCTAGGAGCGCTCACCCCTGCCCACACCTGGTCATCACAGACCTATTAAATCGGAACACCTGGAGAAGGAAGCGGACATCTACATGTTTTAGGATCCCTGGAAGATTCCAGCATGATTCAAAGTTTGGCGGCTACTGGACTGACTACAGGGCAGAGTTGGAACTATGAGCTACCATACCCAATGTACAGGCTAGAAAAGTGATGCCTGGGAGAGATCTCCATATTCTGAGACACCAGGGTCCAAAGAGGGCTGCAGGCCTGGCTCTACCCTCAAGGCTAGTTTCTTCCCACACTAAGTCCTAGAGATAATCCCAAAGAGACCAGGACCCTGACTCCAAGGAGCTCCAGATCTGGGCACATCCTCAACCTTTCCTGAGAGACGTTCTACTGGAGTTGGGGGCAGCAGGCAGGGAGGTTCCAAAAGACAGCGTGGTGGGGAGCACTGGAAGCTGGGCACAGGCCTGTGTGCTGAAACCAGCTCACTCATAACTCATAAAATCCGAATGGAGCCTGGCTCCAGCCCAGGAACCTCTCTTCATTCTGGGGCATGACTTCATTCTGTGGCATGCGGGGGTCTGTTCCTGGATTGTGGGGCCCAGACACGGCCTCTTTATCTGTTTCTTTCCTGATATCCCTCTAAAGGCGGTGGCTTAAAGGGAGCTTCCTGGGGATTTGGGCTTCTTCCTCCAGGTCTACACTGGAAACACAGGTGTCCACATGGAGACCGTGGTACAGGAAATCAGAGGGGGCTCATGACAGTCCCCTGTCCCCAACCCGACTATTCCAAGGAACTGAGACCAGCCATGTTTTTTTTTTTTAATTTATTTTAATTTATTTTGCAATACAATTCAGTTCTACATATCAGCCACGGATTCCCTTGTTCTCCCCCCTCCCTTCCCCCTCACCTTCCCCCCAAACCCCCCCCCCCATTCCCATCTCCTCCAGGGCAAAGCCTTCCCCACAGACTGAGGTCAACCTGGTAGACTCAGTCCAGGTAGGTCTAGTCCCCTCCTCCCAGGCCAAGCCAAACAATCCTGCATAGGCCCCAGGTTTTAAACAGCCAACTCATGCAATGAGCACAAGATCTGGTCCCACTGCCTGGATGCCTCCCAAACAGATCAAGCCAATCAACTGTCTCACCCTTTCAGAGGGCCTGATCCAGTGGGGACCCCTCAGCCATTGGTTCATAGTTCATGTGTTTCCATTCATTTGGCTATTTGTCCCTGTGCTTTATCCAACCTTGGTCTCAACAATTCTCGCTCATATAAACCCTCCTCATTCTCGCTAATTGGACTCCCAGAGATCCACCCGGGGCCTAGTCATGGATCTCTGCATCCAGATCCCTCAGTAGTTGGATGAGGTTTCTAGCACAACAATTAGGGTGTTTGGCCATCCCATCACCAGAGTAAGTCAGATCGGGCTGTCTCTCGACCATTGCCAGCAGTCTGTTGTGTGGGTATCTTTGTGGATTTCTGTGGGCCTCTCTAGCACTTTGCTTCTTCCTATTCTCATGTGGTCTTCATTTACCATGGTCTCCTATTCCTTGTTCTCCCTCTCTGTTGTTGATCCAGCTGGGATCTCCCGCTCCCCCAAGCTCTCTTTCCCTCAACCCTCGCCTTTCATTACCCCCACTCATGTCCAGGCTGTTCATGTAGATCTCATTCCATTTCTCTGTCATTGGGCGATCCCTGTGTCTTTCTTGGGGTCCTGTTTTCCAGGTAGCCTCCCTGGTGATGTGAGTAGCAGACAAGTCATCCTTGTTTCATGTCTAGTATCCTGCTATGAGTGAGTACATACCATGTTTGTCTTTCTGAGTCTGGGTTGAGACCAGCCATGTTTTAAGCATGGGACAACATACTCCCTCGATGCCACCCAGAGTAGAGCTGGAATCCCAGTTTGGCTGCATCCACATGTTGGGTGACCTTGAGGAAGTTGCTTAACCCCTTTCAGGCTGGACCTAATGATGATAAAGATCCCCATTGCTAAGACATTATAAAGTTGGGGTTCAACAAAGCCCATGAGGACTGTGGGACCTTGGACACATTATTTTACTTCTATTGCCTCAGCTAACCTGTCTTTAAAATGGGAACAATTATACAACAGCAAGGATACAGGAAGGATTAAATTCATCAAAATGAGCCAATCCACACAAAGCTCTTAGAACAACATCTAGCCTATCCCAAGGGCCAAATGAGATCCTCAGCACGGGGCTGGCACAGCGAGGCTCACGCAGAAATGGCTGCCTCCTTCCTGCCTTCCAGGCCCTTTGAGGATGCAGCCAGGTAAATTCCAGCACTTAGCTGCCTTCTTTCCATGGCTGGTGGCTGGCTCCAAGCCAGCTCTCTGTAAAAAAAAAAAAAAAAAAAATTGGAATTGGTGCTGGCTTTCTCTTCTCCCTTTCCGTGAAGACATCGAAAAACAGAAGCTCTGACCTTGGGCTACCTTGGACTGCTATGTGCTCCAAAAGACAAACGCTAGAAATTATTTCGAGAGAGCGGGGCACACCACAACAGCTGCCCCCACCCCCAACTACTATAGTGGCCCTCCTGCTGCCCAGCTGAGCCTGAACAGCCCAGACGCTGCTGCCTCTCCTAACCCTGGATGCCCTAGAAGAGTGGAGAGTTGTGGAAGGTTGTTTTTGTGGTCGTTGATCTGGGCTTTGGGGTTTTGTTGTTTGGTTTGTTGCGCGGCGGGTAGCACAATACAAAAAGAAGCACAGACATCAGGGTGGGCATGCCAGCCAGCATTTCCACCAATGTCCAGGCAGCACGGGGGGGCCCAGCTCCCATAGGACATTGAGGGTCAAACACTTTGGTGCCTTGCCATTGACCCAGGAGAAATGGAATAGAGTGAACATAAGACATTTGACCCTGCATCACCCAGCCTTTCAACAAGCCACAGTCTTCAAAAGCCATCTGGAAGTTTCCACAGAAATACCTATCTCTGAACAGGACAAGGAACAGGGAAAGTCATGGCCAAGCTATTTCAGGTCAGAATAAACTCTAAACCCTGTTCTTATTTTCTTTCTCTCTCTCTCTCTCTCTTTTCTTCCTTCCTTTCTTTTTTCTTTTCTTTTCTTTTTTTCTTTTTGTTGGTTGTTAGAGACAGGGTTTCTCTGTGTAACATCTCTGGTTGTTCTGGAACTCACTCTGTAGACCAGGTTGGCCTCAAACTCACAGAGATCCACCTGCCTCTGCCTCTCCAGTGCTGGGATTAAAGGAGTGGGCCACCACTGCCTGGCAGCTCTAAACTCTGAAGCTAACACCATGCTGCCCAAAACAAGAGAATAGAAGGACTTCCCGGGGGGCATGAGCAGACACACACACACACACACACACACACACACACACACACACACACACACACACACACACACAGCTCCCTGCTGCCCTGTGCCTCCAGGAAGCTTCTGGGAGCACAGAGAAGCTTCGAAAACCATGGCTCTGATGCCTGCCGACTGTGAGTCTCTAAGAATCAGACAGTTCCTCCCTCCACAGCTGCTGAGCTCTGGGTGCAGTGAGGGCGACAGGAATGTCCTTGAGTCCTGGTGCTCACATTCTAGTTCAAGTGATGTAGAGAGTAAGCACCAAAGACAGCAAAGCTGAGTGAAAGATTTAGTGAGGAAGTAGAGTGGCCACGCCTACTGTTCCAGCAGCCGGGAGACTGAGTCAGAAGGATGAAGAGTTCAAGTCCAGCCTTCCAGCCCGAGAGATACACCAGAGAGAGACAGAAAGACTCAGACTCAAAACCTGAGAGAAGGTAGGAGGATGGCTCTAGGGGTAAAACATTTGCCATGGAAGCATTAAGAACTGAGTTCTGATGTTCAGAACGTGTGTGAAGCCGGAAGGAGTACAAGTCCACAATCCTAGCCATGAGCGACAGAAGGATCCACAGAAACTCGAAGGCCTGCTAGTGACAAACAAGGACTCGGTCTCAAAGTGGAAGGCAAGGACCAACATCTCAATCTGTCCTCTGGCCTCCATACCCATGCTGTGACACGTGGGCACCCGGACTCCTGTGCACACACGGATGAATGAGAATTCAGTGTAAGTCCAGGTGAAATGGAACAGGCCACACAGTGGCCTGGGAAGGAGAATCAGGCGGAAGGCCGGCCCGCAAGGCAGAGAGGTGGGAGCCCGGGACACTGAGGCACAGTGGACAGGGAGGGAACGGGGAGATGACAGAGCAAAGGTGACTAGGTCAGCTCTCAAGACATAGATGCCAGCCCAGGGTGCAGTGCCTGGGGCAAGGTCCTGATCCAATTCTGTGCACCTTCTTCCGGTGGCTACGTAGAGGAAAACACGGGGAACGCCACAGAGACTCCTGAAGCCCGTGCAGAGACGGAATCATCTGCAGGACAGACGAGGAGGACGTGAGCAGGAAGAGGGGCCGCAGAGGTGATGAGGTGTGGAGAGACTTAGGACCTAGGCAGTCAGTAGCTTTGGTTGTCAGCAGAGGAGCAAGAATACCTCAAGTGGTGACGGGACATTCAGAGACTGGCCTGAACAACAGCGGAAGGCAGGTAGACCAACCACCTTCATCTGGAGGGAGCACCTTCTAAGGGCCTAATTGGCCACAAGAGACCAAGGAGCAAGGGGAGAGAGATCCTGGTTCTACACCCTCCTGGAGGCAAGAAGTCTGGCCAAGGTCTCTAGGGGACAGGGTTTGCGGGGCCTTTTGCTCAAGCCAGCCCATGACCTTGCCCAGAAAAGAAACGGAGCACTGCCAGCGGCTTGGACTCTGGCTCCTAAGTGGCCATGCCTCCTAAGGCCCAGGATTCCCTCAACCCATAATGGAGCCTTTATTCTACACCCAGCACCCGAGCCTGCCTGGCCACACCCAAGCTCTCCTAGAGCCAGAAGCATAGGCGGCCACCCATGAGCTCTCGATAAGGAGGTAAGAAAGTACGCTCGGTACAGCTCGTGGCCCTCCACTCTCCTCTCCAGCCAGAGAAGGCAGACTTTCTTCGGCACCTCTCCCAGCTTCACCTTGGGGAAACCCGGGAGCTGGAGAGTGGACCATCTCTCAGAATCTGGAAACAGGCAGGCATGACTTCATGTGTCGTCTCCAGGAATTCCTCCAGAAGGCCATAGGAAAGCCACTTGTGTGTTTGGAGATTCTATCACATCCTGGTATCACAGCGTCTACTGCACGCCCTCTGGCTAGGGCTCTGGTAACACCCAGCCGGCACAGTGGTGTCAATCTCGTGAGACTAGCAACCCAGTTCTCTACCACCTTCCCTTCAGGTTCCAGGAGGTGCCTTTCAGCGGCTTTTCCTGGGTTCCGTGTTAAGACACCCCACCCTGGAGTTTACCATGCTGTCAGCCCAGGTTTAGTTCTTATTTCAGCTATCAAGGTTGCTATCCCAGAGCCTACCTTCAGAAAATTGATGGGATGAATGAATGAATGAATGAATGAATGAAGAATGAATGCAAGGCTGCCTCCCAGTCCTAGCCAGCCTCCAACTCTGGAGAACTATCCCTCAGTTTCTTGTAACCCTGCATTACCATGCAAAGAACCCTTCCCTGGGCCTGGGTACATGTGTCTTATTGAGGATATAGATAGTTTATACCTGGCCCCAGGCTCAGAAGTAAAGGCCAGGTGGTCATGGGGAGCTTCCTGCAACCTTAAGTCCATAATATTCCTCCCAGCCAGCCTCTAGGCCTTCAGGCGGCACAGGAGCCTGGATTGCACACTGTGCGAATTGAAAGCGTGAAGCAGGAGGATGACAGGACTTCCCTGCCTTCTTATTGGACATACTGGATATATAAAACAGCTGGGCTTCCTGACTTCTGGGCCCTGTGTATGCCCATGGAAAATTCAGGCAGGGAACTAAAATGATCCTCCTCATGGCAGCCAGGGAAAAGAGATAAGTAAAGGGGTATACAGGGGGTGAGGGGGGCTGCTTTGCCCAAGCCACCCTGCTGCTTCTCGGAAGCAGCCAATACCAAGCAGGCAGATGGCCGGCAGGCCCCCTCAGAGCCCTGGGACCCAGATGGTCATCCCCAGCATTAGGTGAAGTACACACAGCAGCAAAAGAGATCGTACTGCCAGCCAAAGTCACCGAAGCCCAGCTATAGCCAGGGGCCACCCTGTCTTCCTTCCTTCCATAGCTGGAAGGCCCATGGGACCGCAGAGAAGCTGGAGCTACAATCAGAGCGGCCACACTCAGGGGACCATGGCCCACAACAGGCATGTCCTCCCAGGGAAAGCCTCCTCCACTCCTGTTGCCTGTCTGTCAGGGGACCAAAGAAACTGTGTCTTCACTTGCAGCCAGGCTGTGAGCTCAAGTCACCTCCGGACCTCTGCATCATCTCCCATGGACTTGCTTGGGCTCAGGAAAAGCACTTAGGACTAACTAATAAAAATAGACTCTAATACTTCTTAAGGGCCTGCCAGAAATGGCCAGGAGTTCTGAGAGCTTCATGGGTAAAAACCAATTCCTGTTACAACCCTGAGAAGCAAGTCTGTTGGGATCCCCACTTTACAGATGAGGAAATGGAGACCCAGGGAGGATGCAAAGAGCCTAAGTCATCGGTGAGCCAGAAGTCCAACCCAGGCAGCCTGGCTCTGAAGCCCATGTTCTCAGAGCCATCCATCTGGCCAGAACCACTGTGAGTCCCACACTGCACTATACCAGGGAGCAGAGACAGGTCACCTTGGTTTCAGGGGTGACTTGTGAAGGAGTGAACTGTCCATCACAGATACACACTTGCCTTGGTGGAATTGTCTAGGCAGCAGGTAAGGACAAGCCTAGGTCACCTCCGATGGAAGGGACAAGTGTCCGTCCGGCCAGGTCTTGAGGTCTTGGGAGGAAGTATGGGGACCTTAGAGAAGCCTACATACTGACACACATTCAATCACAGACTTACACATGTTCACTTGCTCACATGCACATGTGTGAGCTTGTGCACATGTGTTCCTTGACATAAGAGCTATTCTGGGGAACAAAGGACACTACTAAGTCCCCACAAGCCTGGGAGCCCCCAGACCACAGGAAGTCTGCTCCCCCTTGACAAGTGCTTGGAGGAAAGCCTAGGACACTCTCTTCCCCCTCTCAGCCTCAGTTTCCCCACTGTTTGAGGAAGGGGTTGTTTGAGGTCATCTCCAAGGTCTTGGGCTCCTTGCCGCCTGGCCAGTCACCTGCAACTCTCTGTCCCCAGAGCTGGCAGGAGCTGTGACTCAGCAGCGAGAGGCAGCACAGGAGCTGCCCACTGCCCCCTCCCCCCAACACACACAAAGGGCATCTTGTTACCACAGGCTGCCAGCAGGCAGGCAGGGCTGGGAGGTAAGGGGCCAGGACGCCTGTGTCAGCAGGACTGGGGGCAGGGCTCAGGGGGAGGCTCTGCCAGGGCTCCTGGCTGGCTGGCTGGCCACAGGATCCAAGCAGTGGACAAGGCCTTGGGCGGGCAAGCAGCTCTGAGGAGCAGTCGCAGGGAACGGCTGGTCCCCAGGCTTCTGTATGGAACTCGGTTTCTTAAGTTCCTTTTTTATTATCACTAGTTTTCAGTTATGTTCTGAATGAACCTTGTGCTGCCAGCAGCAGCTTCAGGCCTGGAATTTCCCAGCTGTGTAGGCTGAAACCACAGCCCCGGCTCAGAGCTTACCCGGCTTCACTCTGTGGTCTTGGATGCGAGACTGAGGCCCCATCAGTTTTCCTATCCATAAAATAGGAGAGCTGAGTGGAGGCAATACTTATATCACACTCCCCACTGAGGCAGATGTCACCTCCCAGGGGAGCCCCAACACTGGCCAGGACATTCTGGTATCTTCTTTGCTGCTACTCACTCTGCCACCTTCTTGCTTTTGGATCCTAGGCAAAGAAAACACTTTTGCCTTCAGGCCTCAGTCTTCCAGCCTGTAAAATGGTGATGGCTGAAAGAAAGCAGAAACAAAACAGTAGATTCTCTCTGGACATTACTTGGACATCACATTCTGACACTGAACGAAGAATAAGACAAGATAGATTCAGGGAGTCCATGCAAGTAAATAAATCAGTCTGCAATACTGTTCCTATGAGCGTGGGCATGGAGGTTCATACATATGCACACACATGTATGAGTGGGCAGGGAAGTGTGTCCCCACACTTGTGTGTTATTTGAGCAGAACAAGGTCCAGAGTAAAGGCTCTTCTGGGCCCTTATGCTCCTTAGGACCACCGGACTCTTGTGACTGATTTGTGATGTCCAGCTAATCACAGCCTTGCATAACAAATTGGTAGCTGCAGACCTGCATCCTCCAAGCACTGAGAGGAACTAGCGGCCAGCTGCCCCCTAAACCACCCATTACAGTCTCAAGGAGCACTCCATCCATGTAAATGTGCCCCAGAGTTGCATCCCCACCATTTTTCATAAACTTTTATGTGTGGGTGTCTCATTTGCCGAGCATCCATAGTTCACCTGTAACCGAAAGGATTCTGCATTCTGTTAGGAGCATATAACTGATAGGCTTTCAAATACTGAAATGTAGTGGGTGTGGATTAGTCTACCAGACCCTCCAAATACTACCCAGCTCCTAAGCTCCTTTGTCCCACTTGACACATGAAAGTGAGACCCAGATTAGTGAAAAAGCACGCACCTGAGGGCCTGAGAAAGGGGCCAGGTGAGTCAGGCCTGTGAGGTCAGAAAATGAAAAAGCCAGGCACAGTTTGGGGATGTAAACCATGATCCAGAAACCCAGGCAGAACACAACTATCATCTCCTTTCCACAAGCATAGACGCTCCCCTTAGCTGTGAGCTTGGGGACAGCCATGGCCTGTTAGAAGGTGAGAAAACCCATTTCCACCATCCTCCTCTCCTGGGGAAGATCCTAAGAGTTCTTGGCACACTGGGCTTCCTTTTGGGCAGTGCCCAGGTGGGGCACAGGCCTCAGGCACAGATTACCTGGCCTCTTCCTCCCCTGGTTACATCAGTGACTGAGTGTGGGAGGCCCTTCCCTCCCCGACCCCCATCCCAGCCCTGAAGGCAGACCCGCCCAGGCAGAGCAGAGATTCCTGACAACAGCATCCACTAGCATCCTGAGAGCGAGCGGGAGGCCCAGTGGTCTCAAGGACCATACTCCATAGGAAGGGCTGCATTTTATTGGGTCCCCACTGCACAGGAGGTTGTTTAAATCCATCATCTATTTAGCAAATATTCACTGAATGCCCTTGAAGTACCAGGCCCTGGGCTCGGTACAGGAATCCTCGGTAGGGCCCCTGCCCTCGGGGAACTCACAGTCTAATGAGGAAGGTACACAAATGAGCTACAGGAGAAGAGAAGAAGGTTCCCCGATGGGGACATCTGCCTGGAATTGCTGATGAGGGAAGGCTTCCTGGAGGAGGTAACACTGAGCAGGCTCTCCCCAAAGGGGAACAGGAGCTATGCAAGCAAAAGACAGGGGAAAATATTACAGGCAGAGCAATACTGTGGGAGCAGGTACGTCGGCACCCACAACTTTCACAAGGACCTTAGAGGGTGGGAACAGGCACTCCACTTTATAGTGGAGGAAACTGGGACTCCTGAGTAACAGAGTCAGCCAGAAGACTGAGGCTCATCTAGATGGGCAGTTTGCTCTGACCCTATACCACACACCAGCATTTCCAACGAGCCCCGAAGTTAAACAGCAAAGCCAGGAACAGTGGAAGAGGCTGAGTCTAATTTGTCTTGTAGCATACAGATGTGGAGGAAAGGTGGTCTCCATGACAGCCAAGCCTCTCTTTCACCAGCAGCTTGAGAGGTCCCCATGTAGGCTCTTTAAAGGCCTTCCCCAGAGCCACAGGGAGAGGAAGGACAGGGGAGAGCCAGAGACTGGCAAAGGGATGGAGACTCCAGGCAGAACCAACAGCAGTCAGGGGGCTTGGAGCAGAAGAACGTGGCTATGGCATTTGGAGAATGGTAAGCTGGAATGTTTGAAATTCTCCAAGGTCACCCAGGCCCAGCCCCAGAGCTGCCCAAGGCCCACCATGTCCCAAGCAAACCTCAGCAGAGTTCACCAGAGATCGCAAGGAGATGTGGTCTTTCCTGGGTTAGCGTGACTCCACTATAGGCAAGGGCTAGTGCTGGACTCTGGCATCCAGCTGAAGGACTGCAGCCTCCTCCTACCTTCGGGAAGCTGACAAGGGAGCAGAGAGGACGGACAGACAAGATGCAGGCAGAAAGCCTTGCAAGAAGAGAGGCTTTGTTGACTCAGTCCCTCAGCATCCCTTCCCTCAAGGGCTGAGTCAGAATGGAGCAGCGACCCAACAGACACTATGATGGCTGGTGGTGGGTGGGAGTGTCCCCACCCAGCTTGGGATCTGCAGAGTTGCTCCTACCCCATCCCCATGCCAAAGCTGGGAACCTGGCCAGCAGGAGCCAGACCACCAGTAGGGATGTTGGGATAGGCAGAGGAGGCAGGGATGCTCCTCCATTCTGTTGATTTTCTCTCCAGGAGTCCAGAACCCTAGAGCTAGTCTGTGGCCACAGCCCAGACCTCTGTGCAGGCTGCAGATGTCTAGGCAATTCCTTTAGGACTCTGGCCCCATCAAGGATGTCTACAGCCACCACTATCTCTATGCTTTCTCCAAGGGACCACAACTGTGACAGATGCCCTGCTGTTCTGAGACTAAGATCCCCATTGCTAATGTCTGGAAAAGCTTCCTTGACTTACAGGGAGATCATTCAAAGTGCCCCCTGCATCTGCTGTTAACTGTGGGTAGGAGTGTTCCAGCCTTTGGGGAGAGAATGACTGTTCATCGATAGGAGGGAAGAGAAGAGGAGAGAGCTAGGCCCGTCATGGAACCCAGTCCCTATGCCTCATTCTGTCTTGGCTCCTCACTGATGCTTCCTAGCCATCACATCCTTCTTCAGAAGAATGCCCTGCCCACAGCCTGGCAACTCCCCCAATCTCCTCTCGTTGGCTTCCAGCCCAGTCCAGCTCATACCATCCTGCTTCAAATCCCACCTAGGTCCATACCCTATTTCTCACTTCAGAGTCCAGATGGTACTTACGTAATTCTTCCTAAAACAAGGATGGCTAATCCATTTCAGTCTATAAGCCAACCCCGACTCGTCAGCACCACCCCCTTTTAAGGACTGTTTTGAGAGGCTTCTGGGGCTACATGTGAGCTCTGTGGGAAAACGTCATGATTGCTTGGTAGGTTCTGTCTGTTTTGGTTTGTGTATGTGTGTGCATGAGCACTTCTGGGATGGATGGAACCCAGGTCCTCATGCGTGACAGACAAGCACTCTACCACTAAGCTATAGCCCCAGCCCATGATTGACGAGTCTGCTGTGGGCATAATAGGGGAAGACTTTACCACTGGTTCACCATAACCAGGCAAATGCCTTCAGGCGTTTGGGAAGATGCAAACAGACGTCCCTGTCCCTTTCCCTGCTTTGTGCTCAACCTTGGTTGGCCTCTGTGACAAGGGCAAAAATCTTACCTTTTGACTCAGGCTAATGTAGACAGATTAGCTGGGAACTTTGGGGCATGGAAAGCACTAGACTGAGCTTCCTTCTCTATACATGAATAGGACCAAGGGGTCCTAGAGGTTGAGTTCTAGAAAAACAAATGAATTCTCCATCCCATAGCCCCTGAACACATCATGGGATGGCACGAAGAACTGAGTACCAACACAGGGTCCGAGCTGGAGACCAGAGGAAGCAACGATCAAAGGAGTCAATCAAAGCAACAATCTCAGGCCCTGGCTGCTCTCCGAGTGTGGTGAGCGGTGGGCTGGTATTGAGAGGTCCGAACTGTTTAGAGGTAGCAAAGCTCGGGAAGGGATCCAGAACCAAGAATGGAGGCCAGACCCCCTGATTTTTCACCTACTTTCATCATTAAATTGGCCCGGGGATACCCTTTGCTTCCCAACACTATCCCTCCATGGGACAAGGACCTCAGAGAAGCGTCCCTGGCCATTCAGATTTAAGGAAGCCCCTACATCCCCCATGATTCTCCTTCTCAGCCCCTCACTATGACTGCAGTTCTGATTCCTTCTTGGACATTGCAGTTCTTTCTTTAGTCTGCTTGGTCTGTGAGTCTCATGAGGGTGGAGATGAGATCTGTTTCTCACCCTGCGGCCTCCCCTCCTAACTCAAATCACTGTTGTCTAAACAGTGTATTGGCTGTGGCAGGCAGGGGTCAGGTCTTCAAATACCTGACAGTCCATGCAGATAAAGTAAATGAGTGAGGCATGCCCTGTGAAACCTCAAAGCAGTAGCAGCCACATGGCACACTCCTATTGTGTTCTGGGCCTGCCTCACTGCAGCAGCTTGACTGTGTTTACTTGACATATATGCAAAGTGAACATATACAAACATATGCCCTTCTCCACTTTATAGAGTAAATGATACTTTTATTATTTATTCATTTAGTGGGGGCATATGTGCGTATGCCTATGAATGTGAACACTTATATAAAGCCTAGGTTTGAACCTAGGACCTTGTGCATGCTAGTTGGGTGTTCTACCACTGAGCCTTATCCCCACCCACTTCCCTACCCTTTTTAATTTCCTTACTTTTGCTAGAGTTTTAAGTACCAAGAACTATTTCTCTAGTCCACAAACAAACAATGGGCCAAGTGTGCCGATCTGCCCATGGCAGCCTCAAATGGCCCTGTGGTTCTTCACTTGGGTCCCTGGACCACCAGAAGCAGCCATGTCACCTGAAACTTGTTAGAAACCCTGAGGCAGTTCTCCCTGAAGCTCTAGGTGGGGGCAGCAAAGGGAGTTTTTCCGCATGCCTCCAGGCAATCCTCCTGCCAGGTTGAGTCTGAGAATCAGTCAGAGAACAACAGAGACCCTGGCCTACTGGGGAGCCTGCATCCTCCCTGAAGGGACCCTGTGGCTCAACTCCAGTCTACATTCACAGAGTGGAAGTGTGAGCCATGAGCAGGCCTGTCATCCCAGCCCTAGGAAGGCTGAGGTTGGAGTATCTGGAGTTCAAGACTGGCCTGAGCTACATCGCAAGATCCTGCCTACAAGGGAGAGAGAGGAACAGACAAAGAGGAAGACAGAGGGAAAAGAAATGTAAGTCGGTGTATCTAAATATTGAAAGACCAGACCACGTTTCCATGTGATATTTCATACCTAAGTTTTGGCTGGATTTGGGGCTTGTTTTTAACCCCACGAAGACCAAAGAATCTTTCTTTTTATAAGTTGAAAGTAACCCAAGAACAGACAGAATATGTCTTGAGGAGGTGGAGACCATTCTCTACATGGAAAGTCCCATTGAGATGCTTTAAGTCCAGGCTACTGGGGCCAGCTTAGCACGTGAGGCTAGCCCGACCAGGCTCCCACAAAGCCCCCTTACCTACAGTGTGGACTGCTTCTGTATCCTCAATTTCCAGACAAAATCTATGGGCCCTAGCCTCTCTCTAGGCCGGAGAATAAACAAGATGGAAAATTCTAGGTCCTGATGATCAGAGCACAGATCAGGCCTGGGGTGGAGAGTAAAGTCACTCCCTGAGCCAAGCATCATGTTGTAGGCCACAGGCACTGTTAACTCTTCAATTCCTGTAGCCAACCTACCTTAGAGTAGAAAAACATGCTGTTTGTTTGTTTGTTGTTTGTTTGTTTGTTTGTTTGTTTTTCTAGACAGGGTTTCTCTGTGAAACAGTCCTGGCTGTCCTGGAACTCACTCTGTGGACCAGGCTGGCCTGGAACTCACAGAGATCCACCTGCCTCTGCCTCCCAAGTGCTGGGATTAAAGGCGTGTGCCAGCCACCACCGCCCAGGGAGAATCATGCATATTTGAAAGACAGGTTCACAGGTTACATGGCTTGTCCTAGATCCCAGAGCTGGCAGATGAAAAAGTCAGGCTATGAACCTACTATTACCTGCACCCCAACCTGTGTTGATCCTAGCCTTCCAAACTGTCTATGAGATACAGGACAGGAGAATCCCTAGGAAATGGCCAGGGTTCTCCTGCCACCTACTTCCCTGGCCAGGACACCATCCTGGCCTGACTTCAGTTTCAGAGTCTCTCTCTACATGGAAGTTCCAACCCCAAGCTAGGAAGTTTCACCAGCTGAGGACAGCCCTGCAGAGAGAACATGACTGAAGGTTCTGGACAAAGCCAAGAACTTTGCCCCCTCCTTCCTTGCCTCGGTCTCAATACGCATCTTCCTTCAGGCCCAGTCATAGCCCTGGCCTACATGGCCCAGGTCAGTGTGGGTGGTTTCCAGAGATGCTGGAAAAAAAATGACATAGTCCTGCCCCTGATGATGACCCCATATGGTCACAGCCCCCAGGAGATCTGGGCTGGCCAAGGTACTGCCCACCCACAGGGGCTCTCATAGGTCCCATCCCCACAGCCACAGCAGAGGCTGACCCACTGGGCCCTGTCAGACCCCTCAGGTATTAGTCAGCACCATCAGCCTGCATGTGACCACAGCTGGATGGACACTGAAGCCAGCCTGGGGCCAAGAGACCTCACTCAGTGGGGAGAGATGGCCCCAAATGACCCACAGGAACACATAAGGGAGAAGGAAAGAGACAAAGTGGAGACATGCTAAACACAAGCAAGGAACAGAAATGAATTCAGTCAGGAAATACTCGTTCAGTACACACACACCACAGACCCCCCGACACAAATGCACTTGTGTTGTGTTTCCATATGTACTCTTCCTTACCATGTTCCAGTATCCACAACACACATCCCTCTGCACGTACAGTGAACACACACACACACACACACACACACACACACACACACACACACACACACCAGAGCGTGAGTCCTACACAGACACCGCAAACCCAGAACGGACTGTCTGAATGCATAGCATGCCGGTTTATTCCAACATACTACAAGGGCACCATGTCCCACTCACACTAAAGCAAGATGTTTGTGATGGCGGTGGCTAAGAACAAGCCTAAGAATCGAGGCCCTGGGCACTTCACCGGCGATTAGGGGGTGGATGGAAGGGAGACAAATCCGGGTTGTGTGATGCGCCCTGCGCAGCCGCAGCCGCAGCCTGGCTGACTTCTGGGCCCCGCCAGGAGGTCGCCTAGCCGAGCTCGGCCAGGAAGTCAGCTCGGAGTGACAGCTCCCCCCCTACGCTGTTTGTTTATTCATGACTCATTCGCCTCCACAGACTGGCTCTTCTTTCTTCTAGTAGGAGGGAGGACAGGAGCGGGCGGGCGGGCGGGCGGGAGGGCGCGAGGGAGGGGACGGGAAGGGGAGCGGCCGGCTCCACAATAAACAATGAGGCAGCTGAGGCCCGGCCGGAGCTGCGGCCCAAGCATCCCAGGCCGGCCCGCCCGAGGCTCTGTGTCCCCATCCCGCCGCCACCTCCGGGCGACCCGGCGGGAGCAGCCGTAATTGGATCCTCGCCGCCTCCTCCCTTCCCCGCCCCTATTCGGGGAGCCGGATAAACGCCGGGTACCTCCGCTCCACCGGCGGATCCCAACCTGTGATTTGGCTGCCGGGCTTCCCCCGGGCGGCTCGGCGACACCCTGTAGGCCAGGCCCTCCCCCACCAAGGGCCCCCGCGTAGGTCCCCGGGTCCCCTCCGCGCAGCCTCCCTCGCCTGCTCCGGGATAACAGAAGGAAGCGAGGATCCCAGGCTTCAAGGGCCTCATTGTTCTGCCTCGAGGGGCACATTGAAAACGCCCCGGGATTCGCTTCCTGTGAAAACAGCTGGGAGGGGGGGATCCCCGGTGGAAACTGCTTTACCCCTACCCTGAAAGCTGCCCGGATTAGACCGGGAGAAGGAGGTTGTTTTGATCGTTGACGGCTCTTTCTTCCTCCCTTCCTTTTTCTCTTTCCTCTTTCTTTTTCCTCCCTTCCCTCGTTTGTGAACCCACCCCACACCTCCTTCCCTCCCTCCGCGGGCCAAAGCTGAATCTTTCGGGCTGTTGAGCAAGTTGGAACTGTGGGGCCGTTTTCTGCATAAATAAGGCTTGGTGAATGGCAGAGCCAGATATAAAGTCTGATTCAAAGGCTCAAAAGAAAGCAGGGGCGATGAGGTGGGCATGCCCGAGGAAGCATTTCCCCAGCATGGCCCTCTGAGTCATGTCTTGCACCAGGAGGAGAAAAACACATCATCACATCACGCCACAATATGTCACATGCCTCCAACAGAGACATGGGCCTGCACTGTGGGGGACATAGCTCCTTCCTCCCCAGCTGGGTCAGCACAGTGAGGAGCAACAGAGGCAGGCAGAGACGGAGCTACTGGTCCCAAGGCGCTCTCCCCTCCCTTACCATTGACCTTGGATAAAGACAATACTAACAGGGCACAGTGCCCGCTAGGTGCAGAGGCCTGTACATAGCCAGTCACTGAATCTTCCTCACCACCCTAGAAGACACCATCTTTTATACCCCATATCCACATAAGGAATCTGGGCCTAAAGTCACACAGCTGGTGGGTACAGAGTCAGCCCAGCATGCTGGCTCTAGAGTCTGCAGTGTGACCACAAAAAATCCAAGCCCCAGACTAGACATCAGGACATGGGGATGGTGACACCTACCTGGGGAACTTGGAGGGTGGGTTGAGAGTGCTGGGCACAGAGCATGAGTTCATACTGCCGTTACCTTGGCTTTCGGTGTGTTTGGGTATTTGGTTTATTTTCCTTCCTTCTCTCCACCCCACCCCCCACTCGTTCTCACCCACCTGGAGCTTCATTATGACCCACCCCAACAACCACATATACATACACACATGCACCCTGTCAGAGTAACCATAGCCCCACCTCCCCCCAGCCCTCAGCCTCCTCCTACCACCTGCTCAGATCAAGCCAGGTGAGACTTTTTTACCTCCTTTTATTTTTGCCCGAACCTCATCACCCCGTAACACTCTTATCATGATTGGCAGTTTGTCTGCCTGCCTCCTTATGTGCCATCAAGAACACAAGCCCCATGAGTAAGGGATGCTATTTTGCTCAGGAATGGACGCATGGATCCTGCACACAAAAGCCAAGTTTGCGGCACAGAAGTTCCCTGAGTCTTTGATGGATGGAGGAATGGATGGATGAACGAAAGGGTGAAGTTTCTGCCCTGCTGACCACCCCTCCTGTCTTTGTGCATGTGGGCAACGCCTCCTAAAACCTGGCCATGCTTCTCACTCCTGTGCCTTCCTCTGGTCACCTATCCCTCATAGCGCTTGTCCCTCCAGGCCTGACCTACCCTCCTTTCCTTCCTACTGGCTCTTCAAGAACCCTGTTTCCTTTGAGACTCACCCTCTGTCCTGTGAGCCTCCCAATTGATTCACACGACTCTTTCACATCCTGGATGGGTTTCTGGACCACGATTCCCTTAGTTCCACAGGATGGGGAATGTGATAGTGCTGTCACATTTCTGCAAGGGTCTCCACTTTCCCAGTGTCTTCTGTCCCTAACCACAGCCTCAGCTCACTGTCCTTCACCCAGAGAATGGTTTCACCTGCTGGTCCTTAGCATCCATATGGCCCATCTGATACCTGGACTTCTAGACCATTAGCTCCCATCTCCAGGGACCCTCGCCCCTAATGTCCATCTCCTGTCTATGGCCTAACTTGGGCCAGGCTACCCCTTCATACCTGTTTCAACCATTTCAACCCCAACATTTCCGCGCTTTGGTCTCATTCTCCAACAGTCCCAATAGTTCAGTCATCTGAGTAACCGCCTCTCTTGCACCCCAGAATCCTTCTCTTCACTCATCTGGCCATGGTTTTCCCAGACTACATCAATCGCATCCCTCCCAGCCATTTAAGTCGAGGCTAGCCTGAACAGCAGTTTGGGGCCATAACAACATGGGGGCTCCAGGCTTGGCTGGACCCATAGCCTTCGCAGTGTTCACTGACTGACTGCCTCTTTCCTATCTCCTGTGCGTTCTTTGTCTCCCTGACCCTTTTTCATCAACCCAGGACTCCTGTCCACTCCTAGAGACACTGACTTCATCCAAATTATGAAGTCCTTCTGCTGGGTCCTGTTGCCCCCTGAGTATCCCTGTTACTCTTCAGACTCACTTGGTAAAGAAAGCTCTTCTGGCCACAGATAGCCTGACATCCTGGCCAACCTGGACAGGGTCTGTGCTTGTATTTCTCCCAGGGAGCCCTCCATGACTCTCCTGGGCCCCAGAGCCTCCCTCTCTCCCCACACTTAGCACTGCCATCAAGCTTTCTATCACATTCCCACCCACAGCAAACCCTCAAGGCATCCATCCACCAAGTACCTGTGTAGTAATGCAGTTGGCTACCCTTCTCACTGTTACAGCCCTGTCCTTTGGGGGCTGCTTTGGGGACCCGTTGTCCGGGACCACCCCCCACCTCTCTGGTCATCCCTAATCTCTTGTAGAACCTTCCTCTCCTCCCCTCTAAAGGTCAAGGTTGGAGGAAGCTGATCTCCCTCTGCACTGCCCTCCTGTCTCCTCCAGTGGTGATGGTTTCCGCCCGTTTTGCCCCACACCTCCCAGAGATGCTGTGCTCGGCTGGATCGCCCTGACTCACTCCCACACTCTCCTGGTATTCTTCCTACCACACAGCCTAAGGCTGACCACAAGTGAGATCAGCCCTGAGTCTGAAGCTTGCTCCCTGCTCCCAGCCTCACACCTCCTGCTGGACTCAGCCCGGAGAGGCTGGCCCCAGCTCATCTAGGGCATCCAGAGACTAGGTCTTGACACCTGACCTCAGCAGGGTTTATCAATGCATTTTTTGCCAAGTCCAAAGTAAAGCCCCATCGCTCTTGTCTGAGCTATTGTAACAATCTCCCCACCTCTTGCCGTCTCTTACTTAAGTGAGTCGGCTGCCTTAAGACTGTCTGAAACACAGCCTCAAACAAGCATCTTGTCAGCTCTAAAGCCTGCATCAGGAACTCAAACTACTAAGAGTGGCAGGCCAACCTGGTCTCTGAGAGCCCTCAAGTGCCCCCCACACCCACCCCAATCCATGCATGAAGCTTTAATCGCTTTCCGCGGCTTTGGGCTCTGTTTCATGCATTAGCAGCACTCTGCCCCATTCACAGTCTGCTCAATTCTTTCTTGTCTTTTGAGAGACCATCTTGGGCCTCTCTCCTGGGAAGCCTTCCTAACTCCCTGCTCTGCCCAAGGATGCTTTGCTCTGGAATCAAAATCCAAGGCTGAGGGACCTGCTAAAGAGGCCATCTTCTCCATAGGTTACAGGACTCTTTCTTGACACCTGGAACCTCTGCAACCAAGAACCAATTGGGTACTCGGCAGAGGCAGGGAGGAGGGTACCATCCGGATGCCCAGCTGTCCTCTTCAGGCACTGCCCCAAGAACAGGATAAGGGTAACTGCCCACTCCACTCAGAATACTGAAAATGCAGAGTGACTTTCTCGGACTGGCCACCCTCCTGATGGCTGAGGGGTGAGGTTAGCAGCCTTCAAAGCAGCCAGGCACAGTTTCTGGACACACCTGATCCAGGTCTTCCCTCTGGAAGTGCCTGTTGTCATCAGCATCTTCCTTAGTTCCCCATTTCTGTGTCCTCAACTCTCTGCAAGCCTCCCTAACGCCATTTATTTCCTTACACAGAATCAGCCTGGTTCTGCTGCTAACCCTGGTGGGATTTGAGCTGGTTCCTCTGGCTCTGGGCCTCAGTTTCCCCTTCATAAAGGACGGACACGGAGGAGTCTTCTGGCCTTTGAAGAACTACATATGGAATGCCTGGGGTCTTTGGATGAAATTTTGCCCAGCTCTACAGGAACCCTGAAGACTCAGCCTCGCCTTTCTGTGCGCTCTCTGTATGTCTCGTACTTCATCTAGTTGTCACACATAAATGCAGAGCAGTGGATCGGGGTATATATAGCTAAGTTTGCTTGAGTGCTTGTCTAGAATGTACAAGGCCCTAGGTTTAATCCTTAGCACAAAAATAAACGGGGCAATGGTAGTACACTCAGGTTGTGGAGGCACGTGGATCACAATGCCAAGATCGTAGTTGGCTACATATCAAGTTTGAGCTAGCCTGAGCAACATGAGAAACAGTATTTTAGAAGAAGAAGTAGTCAAGCAAGTAGCCAGTTTGTGGGGGTGGGGGTGGGGAGCTGGTTTTATGGCGGTCAGTAGACTAGAATCTAATCCAGCAAGATCACAGGGAGACATGGCTTGGCCCCTCTGAGCTGGTTTGACCCAGACATACAGGTCAATCCTAGCTGTGGTGGCATTTACTATCTATCTCGTGCCAGGATCACAGAGTTAGTCGGGAACTCAGTCTAGGCATGCTCAGACCATCTGTGAGACTTGATGGAAGGCATGAGACGCTCAGTCAGCACTGGGCTACAAGGCCAGCATCAGGGAGGGACAGGTGGGATGTGGCCCCGACAAGAGCCTCGGCTGTGCCTTGAGTGGGGGGACTCGGGACATTTGGGCAGTGCTCCATAAAAGAGGTAGGGTTTCAAGAGAGGGCAGAAGAGCAGAGCCAAGGCACAACTGTGACCCTGTCACTCCTAATAAAAGCCTTCTTTGCCTCCTGACTGTCAAGTGGACAAAATCCAGACCCCTCGGGGTGGCATGCGAAGTTCTCCCCACACTGACCCCAGAGTGACTTCTCCCTCTGGCAGCCCTGGGCTCCTGGCCCCATCCCACCCGCCCTCACATCCCAGCCTAGATGACCAGACATGCTAAGTGCTCTCTATCCCCAGTGACTTCGCACACACTGCAACCAGTGACTGCTACACCCTTCCTGCTCCTCCCCACGCCTGGTCTTTATCTCATCTCCATAGAATGTACCTTCTTGCTCTTTCAGATCCATCTCCAATATCCCATTCTCCACAAAAACCTACTCCAGCCCTCTGGAGCTGGACTGAACAGTTCATCCTGCAGCTCTCCATAGCAATGCTTTGTATTTATTCCAGACAAACAAAGAAACAGGGCTGTGTTCTAACCAATACAGAAAGAAGCCCTGGTAAGTGGGAGACACACCTGGGTGACAAATTGCTGTCTTCTCTAAGACAGCAAGGTGAGAACAATGTCTGCAGCACACAGTGAGCCCCCCCCTCCAGTCTCAGAAACCTGGGGTGACTTGTCCATGGCCCCTTGGTCACTCACCAACCAGCCTGGCTAGACTCTAGACTCCTAATAGCTTTCTCCTCTTCCCACCACACTTGCCTAGATCCCCAGGTAAACCCCTCAGTGCTTGATAGCAAGGCCTCTCCTACCGCCATCAAAGTCCCGCCATCCAAGTCACAGAGTCTTCAACACCCATAGTATGTGTGGTGACCACCTGGAAAAAGAGGGGTGGAGCCTGAGCAGCCTCAAGTGAGGCAGCAGAAAGATGGCCCAGCAACCAGAGCAGGGGGGAGGAGAAAAGACAGGGTGTAGGATGAGGCCAGCCAGGCTGCTGCCCAGACCATGGACAGCCATCAGAGGATATAAAGTCACTTTGAAGCTGCAGAGAAGAACCATCCTGTGCAGGGGACTTTGCAGCTCAGGCCTGAACCTGAGGCTTCCCCCAAGTCCCAGATGAGTGCTACATCTCCCCAAGGCAAGAAACCTCAACAAGCATTACAAAGAGCCAGTATCTCTAGGTGTTCGCTATGAGGTCCACTTTCCTGAAGAGAAGTTTGGCAGAAACATCATAGACAGAGTAGCTCCCTGGACAAGCCCTTCTCCTGGGCTCTGTGAGGGGCTAGGAAAGCCCCAGCTACCTGGGAGCTGGGGACATCAGATCATCAAAGCCCACCGGAAGTAAGTGTGGAAGCCCCATCACAGTATGGGAGTAGCAGCGGCGTGCTGCCCCGGACCAGCCTTCCCAGTGTGCTGCTCCCAGCCGGCTCGCGAGACCAAGCCTCTGTGTCAGTATCTCTGGAGACAGGAGACATCTGGATTGCCAGTGACAGGTGATAGCAGTCTGCAAGGACAGCCAGTGGGACAGTGAGATGAAGCCTCAGGGGTCCCGTGTGGCATAGCCCAGTTGCTCAGCCATACAGGAAGCTCTCTGTGGGCCACACCCTTCACATGCTGCAGCAGAGAGCATCAGGGGCAGAGAGGACCTGTTTCCTCCCCTCCCTGGGACCAGTACCATAGACAGACTAGGGTTCCATCAGGGGGTCCCGGGTGTGGCTGCTGCCCAGATACCTGCTAAGAGAACATGCACCAGTTCCAGCATGGATTCAGCATGCCAACCTCAAGCCAGTATCCAGACCTCTTACCTTTCCGTCCCCAGGTTAGTGTCTCCCTCTGCTCCAGTACTTTCACAGGCCGGATTCCACCAGGATTTAGAGGGACAAGAAGAATACTGGTATCCAGTTAAATCTGAATTTCAGAGTACCAGAGACTGTCAGTTTAAGTACATCCCACATGATACCTGGCAGATACTTACACCGAAACTTACTGTCTATTGGAAGTGCAAGTCAACGTCCTGTATTTTTGCTCACTAGCTCTGGCATTCGTAAATGAGATGGCTCAGTCACACAACCCCACCTGTCCTCCCCACATGCATCTACAATCTCCCACACTGTTCCTGTTACCTACCCTCTGTAATAAGCTCCCCTGAAACTTGGTGTTTTAAGCCAGAAACTATTTCACATTATCTCAGATTTTGTTGACTTGGAATTCAGGCGAGTCCTGGCCCAGCGAATCTTCTAATCTGTCTAGGACAGATGGAGGTTGCTCTGCTGATGCTATAGTGGTAGGTGAGCCCATCTGAAACCTCTGTGTTGGCATCACACGTGCCTGATGCCTTGGTGGGGATGCCTGGAAGGTAGAATGAGCAAAGATTATCCCTCCATATAGCCTCTGCAGCTTGGTGGCCACGGGATACCTCAATGCTCCTACATACAGCACTGGGGGCCCAGGTCAGCTGTTTGCTTTCCTACAATTCCACCTCTAAAGTCCCAAGTGTCACTTTTGTCGTAGTCTATCTGCACAGATAAATTCTCGACTCAAACATTAGACCATTCATCTTGATGAAGTAGTGATGGTACACAGCCATCTTCCATCCATGCACATGGCATCTCCCTGTCCCCTTCACATCTCGCTGGCCAGACTCCTGTGCCTGGCTGACACCTTTCCTAGTCACCTTCTGGCCACTCTCCCTGATTCTGCCTTCTGGTCTATCCTCTGCTTACCCATTTTTTCCACTAGGGTGTGCCCAGCACTTAACACAGAGCCTGATACATAGTAAGAGTTTAGGAAACAGTGAAATATACATCTGAGAAAATGAGCTGGGCCATAACATCCAAACTGCATAGCCTGGTCTACACGACTTGGGGCAATGTGCTCCCCTGCCCATCTTGGCATCCTGTATACAACCCCGTGGTTCTTTACAACATTCCTCAAGCACATTGACACAATGACTTCTTATTGGCTATTCTTTTGGCACAATCTGTCTTTTCTCTTTCCTGCCTTGTGAACTCTCATGTACTCTTCAGAGACTTACCCAACTACACCTCCTATTGGAAGCCTCCTTAGACTGCCCTGTCCTGGTTTCCATGTGACTGTTCAAATAACAACATGCAAATTACCATTTCCACCTGGGTTCTAGCTCCTCAGATACATGGCAGGGGTGAAGGGCTTCCTGAGTCTAGGGGCAGCATCTCACTAGATCAAGCACATTGGCAAACATTTCCAGAAAGCAGTTAGAGGCCTCTCCTACCTCTTTGACTATGCCATATTTTGACCTTACCTCTTACTACAAAACTTTCCTGACCCATCCTCCACGCCCCACAAATGCCTCCTGTGGTATCGGGCCCTGACTTCCCACTGCACTCAGCCTGCACTTATTTGACCCTTACTGGGTATTAGCAGGCATCAGGCATACCTTCATCCATTCCACTAACACTGCTGGTGTTGGGGAGGAAGGCCTGTGCCTGGTGCAGGAGCTAGGACAAGAAACAAGCAAACAGTGTCAGCTCGGACCCTGAGGAACAACGAGGAGGGGGTGACGCCTTGCATGGGTGAAGAGCAGCTGCCAGAGAAAGGAACTCCAAAGACAAGTGCCCCCTAAGGGTTCTCCAATGAGTAAAGGCCTGGAGCGGAGGCTACAGTTCAGGAGGTGCATTAAAGGTCACAGTGGCCAGCCATGGAGCAGAGAGGGGGAAGGACAAAGAGAGAAAACCCCAGGCCAGAGTTGAAGATCCTTCCAGGTAGAACAAGACCTTGAGGTCTGACCCAGAATTCTGGGTGTTCTATTAATATTAGGCAATATTAACAGGAGTCCGCCTGGACTGCCTGGACTGTACTCCAGGGACTTTGGCTCCGGCTAGTCTCACTGAGCCCTGTGGCCAACTGCAGGTGGAGGGTCTGGCATATGCAAAGGCCCTTCACAAGATGGAGTAAGTTCAATGGAGGGGGACACAGTCCCATTATCACATTCACAACTGTGAGGGCTAATCTTGTTTGTCAACTTGACAACGTCTAGAATCAACTAAAATTCAAGCTATGGGCACACCTGTAAGGGATTTTTGTTTGTTTTGTTTTGTTTCTCAAGACAGGGTTTCTTTTTATAGCCTTGGCTGTCCTGAAACTAGCTCTGTAGACCTGGCTGGCCTCAAACTCACAAAGATAGGCCTGCCTCTGCCCCCTGAGTGCTGGGATTAAAGGCGCGCACCACCACAGTCCAGTTCATAAGGAATTTTCTTAATCAGACTATTTGAAGCAGGAAGACCCGCCCTAAATCAGGGCCACACCTTCTGCTGGCAACTCACATAAAAGGACATGGATGAAGGAAACTTGGCTTTTTGCCTGTTTGCCCTCACTAATTGGTAAGTCATCTACCCTGTAGCTGTGATCAGTATTGAATCCAACTCCTTCAGGATCACAACACAGATCAAAGACCAACGGCTTTCCAGGAAGCATCCAGAACTCCTGCACCAGATTGGGACTGCAGAGATATCCAGCCTCGTGGACTGAACAACAACTGGATTCTCATGAGACAGACATTGTTGGACTACCTGGACCATAGCCTGTAAGTCAGGCTTATAAGTACCCCCTTACTGGGGGGCAGGTTTGAGATAGGACCTTATTATGTATTCCTGGCTTGTGTGTTACTCACTGTGCAGGCCAGACAGGCCCCAGAATCACAATCATCTACCTGTCTCTGCCTCCCAAGTTTAATATTTTCATTTTCATTTTGTCAGTTCTGTTCTTTTAGAGGATCCTTACTACTACAACAACTGTCCAGCCAGGAAGTATGCAACATCCACACCATTAGAGCCAGAGGCACCCCCAGAAGCACTGTGTTCTTGTTGGGGAACCTTGGGTTGTCTGTCCACAAAACGGGTAAGTCAGGACTTCTTGGTTTGATGCCAAGGTAGGGACTATTCCAACTCTGCCTCCCCTCAGCCTGCCAGGCCCCTCTCTCAACTTTCTCTTCCTTCTGTCTCCTTCCAGAACATCCAGGATAGGCCTAGGACCCTACAGAGGGCTGTCCAACCTAGCTCTGTGTTGCAACACTAAGTCAAGGAACACATCTCCACTCCTCCTCAGTGTCTCTCAGCAAGCACAGACCCCAATCTCTTTCCCCTGAAGGCTAGGCAGAGATGAGGGACATGAACCTTCCGTTGCTAGAGCCTAGGAGGGCCCACCAGTAGGGCACGGTGACACTGGCACAGGGTACACACCACTGTACTGTGATAAAGCCTGGCCTCTAGTCTAGGAGTCCTGACACAGGATGGAAGGGCTGCTTCATGCCACAGAGCAAATCAGTAAGTGATTCACTCTGATACAAGGCAGCAGCCCTGCTGTCATAAATGTACTGACCATGGTCCCCTGGTCATCACGAGAGGCACCCACATTGCCGTTCCGTCTGTACAGAACAGGTGTCAGGAGCTCCTGTCTCAGCACCCCTGGAGGAGGGGTAAAGCTGAAGTAACCCAGGGCTCCTCCACAGAGTGGGGCCAAGCTGAGCTCATCACGGGGAGCGGGGCACACATAGGCCTGGCTTCAGCCCTTACTCGGCAATCCTTCAATCCTCTTCCATACTTCAGCAAGGCCTCAGAGGGGACCCTCTAAATCACTGCTTCTCAGTGTTTGTGACAGCGAGCTGGTGGCAGTGGAGGTGGGATCCTTATTTGAGCACGGGAACTATGCCATAAAGACTGGAGTTCACTCCAGCCCTGAGCCACTCCGGGGTTCCCACACGCGCAGATCCCCTGGGGATGCAGTTAAAAGGTAGACTGGGTAGCATCAACAGAGAAAGATGGAAGGTGACAGAAGGACCCGGCTAACAATGAAGGCGGCTGGCAAAGTTGGTATGCAGGCCACTTTCTGCTTGACTGAAATAGGGAGTGACTAGAAACGGGCACAGGATTTCTTTGGGGAGTGATAAAAATGTTCGAAAGTTGTAGGGGCTGTAGGGGCTGTGGTTAGAGCTTAGTAGAGTGCTTGCCTAGCATGCACGAAGCCCTGGGTGCATTTCCCAGCAGGACACAAAGCAGGAGTGGTGGCAGGTTAGAGAATGGCTACTCAAGTCTGCAAATATACTAGGAGCCACCGGAATACACATTTGAAAGCAAAACTTAAAAATATATGAACAAAGTCGGATGGTGGTGGTGCACGCCTTTGATCACACCACTGAGGAGGCAGAGGCAGGTGGATCTCTATGAGTTTGATGCCAGCCTGGTCTACAGAGTGAGTTCCAGGACAGCCAAGGCTGCACAGAGAAACCCTCTTGAAAAAAAAAATATATATATGAACAAAAGTAAGTTCCTCTTCCTCGTCTTCTGAAGAAAAAATATGTGCATATGTAAAATGCCCACACCCTGGAGTTTCCACAAGCGAAACCCCCTTTTCCCAAAAGTTGAATCTTCATAGACTACAGATTCCATACATGCCCAAAGCTAAAGCCCAGCATGACCTTGGCTATCACAGCCCAGGGGCTTATGGGTCTGAGAGAGAGGGAGGCTCCAGGGAAAGCAGGCAAATGGAGACTCGGGCATGGAGGGACCACAGGAATGGTGCCCTGTCCTGAGCCTGGTTATTTAGGGCCGGAATAGGCATGGCCCTACCCACAGAACCAGAGCCTTTAGCCCTCCTTCTCTCTCCTCCATCCTAGGAATTGAATCCAGACAAGTCCAGGGCTCTGAGGACCCAGTCAGGCCTCCTAACCTCAGCCTGGAGAGTCGTCAAGCACCCACAGTTCACTCCATCCCCACGTTCTGCAGAGCCCTCCCCTCTTGCCCCAAAGCAGTCAGGCAGTCTGCTCCTGCCCACATCTCCTTCCTCACAGTCCCGAGCGGGGTGGAAAGAAGAGCTCTCTGTCTCCACTCTGTGCTCTGTCGTTACGCCCCACCCTGCTCTGGGGCAGGGTGGAAAGCCCAGGGTAAGGTGGCCCTCTACCCCAAGCGCAGCAGGCAGCTGAGGAGCACCCTCCCTTCAGCTCAACCGAGGGCCCTCAGTGGACATAGTCTTTCTGCTGAGTCCTGGCAGAGAGAATCCAGTGGCCCCAGTTGGCACAGCTGAGGTGAGTGAGGTTGCAAGGGGAGGAGGCAGGGACTCACACACACTGTGTCTGTGGTCAGGCCATTGTGTTCATGCCCTATTCCAACTCAGAGGATCCTAACACGGGTCTACCACAGCGCAAGCTCTCAAGTCATCCTCCCTCCCTCCCCCTCCCTTCCTCCCTCCCTCTCCCTGCCTTCATCCCTTCCTCCTTTCTTTTCTTCCTCTCCCTCCCTGCCTTTCTTCCTTTCTTCCCCATCAAGCTTGCTAACCACAGAGGGCAGATGTTCTCGCTAACGTTTCTGAGTTCGAAG